TGGGGGAGCGCATCGAGGGCTGGCGGCGGTGAAACTTGGTCGGAGGAATAATTTACGGAGCTTTCATTGTCTAAGTGTGAGAAAAATCTATTCTTTTATTCCCAATTGAACACTTAATCCTCGCAAATAGCTAATTTGTTTTCCATAATAATTTCTGAGTCGTGCCGCGGACCGGTAGCCCGCCCTCCCCCTCCCGTCGTTTAAACTCGGGAGAAAGTNGGGGGGGGGGGGGGGGTTGCCCTGATTTCTTGAAATATTTATTCCTCCGACTCCCGGCGTGAGTCACTCCTACCGACGTCACTTCGGGTCTTCGCGGATAATTTAATCTTAACGTCTTTTTATGATGCCGTGCTAAGGAAGAACGTCGTATGGGCATTCGAGAGTTGCCAAATTTTCTTCGATAGAATGTTTATTTTTTCGGAGAGTTTTGAATATTTTTACTTGAAATTTTCAAGAAAATTAGGTGAAATTGCGAACAAAATTATCTGAAAAATCGAAAGAAAAAAATGTATATATTTACCCGGAAATTAATGTTTTATCAAAGGAAATTTGGCAACGACTGAGGGTTTATAGGGCGTTTTTCCTTAGCACGGCAGTATGGCGCTCCGACTCTTGCCTCTGCTTCAACGTTTTCAACAGTCTTAAGTACTACGCAAATTTATGCTATTCCTCGAAACCCTAAATGAGCTTTTTGCGAGGTTTACAGGGCTCTTACTACCGGTGTAATCTCGATTATTCTAAACAGGATTACGTTAAGTAAGAAATGAGCTCTATTTGCGTAATAACCGGAGAAACAGTTTAATTTAGAATGTTGTCTCCGACTTAACGCGGGAATTCGCGGTTGCTGGACACGAGATTGACTTGATGTAGATGAGATTGTAATAATTATGTACATGGATTTTTGTTAGAATTCCCTATTTGACTTCAGGAAATCAAGAGATCTAGCGCAAAAACATCACCGATAAAAATGTGAAGCCAATTTAACATTCTGAATGTAAAAAAAGTGTGCGAGAACTTGCGAAATGCTGCATTAATCGCCACTGCACTTATTTTATCAATGTCAAGATGTGACATCTTACTACTAAAGCGGGTAATTCAGCATTTTCTGAGTTCTCGCAAACTTTTTTACATCCAAAATGTTGAATCAATTTCACTTTTTTTTCGGTGATAAGTTGAAACCCTTTTTTCCGATCAGTCCGATTCGGCGATATCGACTTTTTCAACGGTATAGTCTTGATGAACTTGAGAATGAAAACCAACTTTGGTTATATTTCGGATGTGGATGGATCCTACTGAGCTTAAACCTGGGGGGGGGGGGGAGGGGGCTGCAAAATGTGTATAAAATGAGACTGGAAATTTGGGAGTTTCTCCCTCTTCCTAGCCAAGGGGCTGTGCAATTTGGAATATTAGGCAACCCTACATCGCGATTTTTGGTTTCCTTTAAGGTAAAATATTACCTTTAAAAGGGATGGGGGATAGAAAACTTTGGAGGGCTTTATCCACGCTCTCTCGCCCCATACTCGCGCTATCACTGGTAAATTCTATAATCAAGAAATACAGGAGGAAATACCTAGAATACCTAACAAAATACTTTTTCCCGGGCGCTTTGCGGCATGCGGCATGCGGCATTCGTCCGGAACATGCCCCCAAACTACCACTCAAAATTCACCTGCTTCGGTACTTAGACGTTTTTACAATTTTTTATAGTGTACGATAAATTTCTCTCTACTCATACTCAATCTCATAATCAATAAAATTTGTTACAGGTTGCGACTGTCTGGTTTTCTCGGCCACATATGGGAAAGAATACGGAGTTTTCAGCAGTCAAGATTACCCGAAACCGTACCCCTCACATGTTGACTGCCTTCTATACACATTCGTCGCTCACAAAGACGAGATAGTTGAAATAACTTTCAAGGATTTTGACATCTACAAATCTCATCTTGAGTGAGTACCCTCTGCAATACAATCAGAACTTTTCCTTAAATGAAGCATTCTTTTTTAACACACATTTTTTAAATATTTTCTTTTTCAATCCCCTTACTTCGGATGAAGCATGAAGTATTAAGGGCTCAAAGTTATATTTATCAAAATTTAAAAAAACCGTCAAAAAACTGTATTTTTTTTGTTGTTATTTATTTATTTATTGCCTGGTGGGCTTTTTTAAGCTAAAGTTAAATTTACAGCTTAGAAACACCTGAAAATTCAGAGTCAATATTATTACGCGGATTTACGTAAACCTTTACGTTTTATTTGGACGTATTTACGCCAAATGGAAGTATGTGCAAGTGGGAAGATAGGGTGTGCTCGTTAAATGAGGGCCATAAGAATGAATGGGGATTTTGAAGCGCCAGTGACGTCCGCGGCAACGAGGCTGTCTCCATTTTTGTTCTTGCTCGGCTTTAACTCATGAGCCCTGTCCACAACGCTCTTTTCCCATTCCCTCGGCTCACGAGTTAGCGCTTAGTACCTTTTGATTCAATGTAAAATCCCGCTTTTCCATTTTCTCAAAAGGAACGATATCCACTTTTACATTCTTTCTTATCCAGCTCGCCACGACCGCACCCCATCTTTCCACTTTCACGTAGTTCCCTCTAGCATAAATACGTCCATTTAATGCTTCTGGTATCAAAACACGCAGGATGATGATCGGATTGTATTTTGCAAAAAGGAATCACTAGCATTGCAATGTTGCTAAGATTGTGCTACTTCTTTTGTCTTGGAGGAAAACCCCGATTATCCCTTAATAGTTTCTATTTTACTCGCTAAAAACTGTAAATTTAAGACAAAAATTACCATCTAAATTTCATAGTTTTTCACAATTTCCGCAATTTTATTGCGAAGGATGAAGTTGCACAATTTTAGCATCATTGCAATGCTAGTGGTTCCTTTTTGCAAAATGCAATCCAATCATTTTCCCACATATAATTGACTTTTCTAGCGGTAAGTAGTGTAGCTTTCTCAAGATTGATGGTTAGAATTTTAAAAAGCGAGTTCTTTCATCCGAATGGTTCTCATCTACTCCGGAGAACTTAAAAACGCGCCTACATAGAACACGGTTAAGCGACTGTAATACGAACGAATTAGAGCTTTCCCGCTTTATTTTAAGCTAAGACCTCGTCTAGTGGCCTATTTCACACTCAAATTAAGCATCTATCACCAAAACACAATTTTAAATCCTCAAGTCTCCATGGTTCAGTCGCTAGTTGAGCAGTGAAGGACGGAAGTTTTTCGAAGGACACCACCCCTCACCTCCCGGATGTGCACCCCCGCGCAGAGGGCTTGAATTAATGTTGAAAACAGCTTGACTTGTTACTGAATCGAGACCCGGCACGCTCGCAGTGAACAGGTCATGCTGGTTGTATCATAGTCTGGCCTCGCGCCAGATTTAATCTCCGCCGTCCTCATACTTTCAGCTATTGAACCCACTTGACAGGTCTTCGAAATTCTTCCCAACGACCCACAGAATGTTCAGAAAAAAGTCAAAGTCGCGATTTTCTCAGGTTCGGAGAGATTTCATCGTTTCCCCGTCGCACGGTCGACCGAGTCAATTGGAGAGATCGGACAAAATTTGGAAACTTTAAAAGCTTTTGACTCCGTTCATATAGAAATTTGAGGCTCTAAAAGTGGTTCAATTGGTTTTCCCGTTAAATTTGTCTCTAGAATAAAATTACCTATTTAAAATTTAAAATGTGACGAAATAAGCATCAAAATTTTCAATTTTAGTCAAAAATTTCGAGTCCGACCTCCCTGGTTGACTCGATCCACTGTGCGTCGCAGGATCGTATAACTACATTACAATTTTCTAAAAAGTCTACTTGCGATGAATCTTACAGGGTAAAAAACCTTAAGAAGCCTAGCCCGGTCTGTACGTGACAAGGTCGTAAAATAGCGCTAAGTCGGAGGTCCACACTATTTTCCGGGGATAACAGGGCCAAGAAGTTCGAAGGTTCCATATATAGACTCAAAATTTTGCGCTCTAATGATAGTACCAGCATTATACGATGGGGGGGAAGGGGGGCAGTGCTCAGCTCAGGCACATGCATTGGAATATTAATCTGAGGTCACGCCGAGTGCGCCGTAACGTTCTTTTCACGATCTTTTCAGTACACGTTACGTACAAGTTACGTTTATTTCACGACCTTTCCAGTACACGTTACGTACAAGTTACGTTTTTTCACGACCTTGTCAGTACACGTTACGTACAAATTATGACAATCTCCGACGACGTATACACATCCGTTCTTCGTACGTTCATGGTATCTCAGAACCGCTGTAAATAATATACCGTATGGACAGAGTACAGATGAAATCGGCGCATCCTTTTCCCGAAAATTTTGAGTTTTAGAGACGCAACGGAAGATCTGAATTGTCTTTAAAGGTGAGGTAAAAAGCGTGAGATTATGAAAACCGTGACGGTAAAATTCCGGTTGAAAGTTGAAAACAGACTTTCTTTCTTAACACCGCACCGTAATTGAAAATTGTCTCGGGTGAGGAAATTTATGACGTTTTGAAAAAAACAAAAAAAACAATGAGAATGGCCATGTTAGTCATTCCAACTGAAAATCGTCTCTCAGTATATTTTTCAAGACAAATTGCACCCCAATGCTCATTTTTTCCTCCATTCTCATACTTAAAGTGTAGACTCATAAAATTCGAAGTAATTATCGATATCACCATGCGATTTCCTCGAAACCACGAGAACCCTGACTCCTCACCGTCATACTTCTTCAAAAGAATTCAGTTTCTTTTCGAGGAAAATGGAGCGTTGTGTTATATCTCCCTGATTGAAATGCCCAATAATAAATACGCAAAGAATAGGAAGTAAGACTCTAGTGATTTAAATTCATCTCAGTTTTGAGGTGGTCTCTTTGAGTAGCCGTTGAATTTTTCTCTCTGACTCTGATTTGATTGCAAATCACTTCATTATCAGAGTTATCTCAGCATGAGACAAACGCAACAAAACGCTTGCCGCATAAAGAAACTTTTCCCCGACTCGAAGTTTAAAAAAAAACGTAACTTTGGTTCTATTGCATTAAAAGTTCAAGCTCTGCATTTTGCGAGGAATAAAAAGCCGACCTGAGAAGGAAATTTTATTTTCCGTCAGAGAGAGTTGAGTGGAGCTGCCAACGCCTGTTCAAAGCTCACAGTTTGTACTCCAACAATAAGACAATTGCACTGATTCTGTAACAATGCAAGAAAGGTTTAGACTGTCGTTAAAAATCCATCGCACCGTGAAAATAACTTTTTATATCCTCTTATGTGTTTATCGTCGTTAATCCGCCAACAGTTCAGAGAACTTTCACCCCTCGCATTCTGCTTTATTTTATGGATGGGACATAAAGTACGACTGGGATGCTGAACTGAGCTGGGTAAAAGTAGAGAGAAATATGATCAAACGAAGAATGGAAACGTTTGTAAGACTGAACAATAAGTTGAGGGTTGAGAGTTGAGCGTGTAAAGATTTTTTAGATCCATGTACTCACTATCCACTGTTTCTTTGTCCTTTATTCAGTATAAATTGAGCCTTTCACAAATTAGTTGATTTTCGACATGTTTATGTATTTATTTACATGTATTTTTATAATCCCCCCTCTCCTCGCTATCACTGTACAAAATTAAAAAAGGGGTATTTTGCCATTCTATTGTTTTAGGGGTTTTAACAGATCATTTTGAGATAAGAGCATTATTTTTTTTTAATTAAAATTCCTTTCTTAAAGTAACGCATTGGATTGCACCAATTTTCTTAAAATCCCTGTTCCTTTTCTGGTCTTGAAGCTCTCCTTTTCGTGCTATTCACATTCAAGGACTAATTATACGTAGAGTTACTCAGAATTCATATTAACTTACATCTTGTTTATTTATGCGATATTTAGCTCTTTTTATTTCAAAATGACTTTTGAAGAGGATGTATGATAGAGGCTGAAGGAATTTATCGAAGACTTGCTAAAACAGAGTTCAATAACTTAAACGCTTCGTTGTATCGAAGAAACGCACAACAATTTTATAATCATTTAACCATCATTAAAAAGAGCAGGAAACATTTCTTTGTATTTCTGCATAAATTAACGGCTAGGAGGTTTACTATCGAGTAAGGGGAAAAACTGAATGTAGGTATTGGTGAGAAGTACTTATCACAAATTCACCGGGTAAGCTGCTCTAAAATTTTATAAGCGTCATTGTTCTCGGGGAGAAACAAAATATCCCTCCAATAAACCCCTCCAATTCCCAAAATATTTCTGGATGATCCCGATTGTAGCCCCACTGTTTTTGTTTTTGGCCTCTCAGTGGGCCTGAAAACAAAAATTGAAAGGAAGTCAAGTTTTGCTGGTATAATACTCGGGGCAGGCATTTGATTTCTCGTGAAAGTTAAAACATGAAACGCGGAGAAATATTTCCGCCTGCTTTCTCCGTAAGCGCCTTCCTTTGTAAAATTTTAAAATGCATGTAGTTTCTCACCTTGCACAATGATGAAACATACATGAAAAAAGGCTTTTTAATCCCCATAAAACCCGGGCTCAGACGGCGAGCCATTGTTCTGGAGCGGACTCCGAAAGGATCCAAGAAAGGATCGTGGAGAAATAATACGAAACAAGATAACGGGCTGGAAAAGGGCTTCTAATGGCTGCTGGAAAGAGAGCCCATTTATAATGCACGCGAGAACCTTAGCAAAGCCATTACGAGCTATTAATTTGAGCGGAAACAGGAGACGAGAGCAGGAACAGGCGAACCGCGCTCTGAAATGAACGGGGAAATAATTTTTGAGAGGCCGAAATTATCGGTTATCTTGAGATAATAGGCGCGGAAGCATAGCGTTTTGACTCGAGAGCACAGTTGTCAATTTCAATAAATATTCAAGAACGCTTTTGCACGTTCCGCCGCCAAAAAAGACAGCTCCAATAGCCGCATTCGACCAATTACTTCCGATTTAATAGGGTCTATTTGAA